TTCCTGCTTACCTTCTGTCCCCTGTTCAGTGCCCCTGCCACCTGTAGGCGAACTGAGGGTTCGTGATATCACCCACAGCACCATGAGGCTTATCTGGGATGCTGCTCCGGGTCCTGTTCGCAAGTACCTGATCACCTATAAGCCTGAAAACGGAGAAGCTAAAGAGGTAAGCTTAGATCCCCTGCTGTTAAAGGGGTGGTTTTGGTAGTGGAGAATGGACAAATACATTACAGTAGCATGTCCCATTGTGGGAGCTCTCGAGCCACAGCGACCAACTACTCTTATTAGGTGCATGTTGCTAGTGTTACTGGAAACACACTGAGAATAGAATTAAGGTTTTATAAGACTTGGCAAAACTTGGCTGCAGGAGAAGTTCTTCTTATGCTCAAATATTTGCATTATTTATTCCATGTTTGATTGTTCTGCAGCTGGAAGTGGGAGGAAGTGTGACCACCAGGCAGCTGGACAACCTGATCTCTCAGACTGAGTATGCCCTGGCTGTTACTCCGGTCTATGACGCTGGACCCGCACAACCAATGCTGGGAGTAGCAACCACTGGTAAGAATGAAAATCATTATTTTGATAGCACTGGCACTGTTTGTCTGCTTCTCACTGAGACAGGTATCCCAACTACCTTCTCTCCCTCTACTCTGTAGATGTGGTTCCTGCCCCAAAGAACCTCAGATTCTCTGAAATTACCGAGAACAGCTTCAGAGCCACTTGGGAGCACGGAGCCCCCGATGTTGCTTTGTATCGCTTTGGCTGGGCTAAGCACGGAGAGCCCAACTTCAAATATGTAAGAGAAAAGCAGCTGTTTGAGATGTTTACACTTCTAATAAATCATGTAGGTATTCCTTGACGAGGCCCACAGAAAGCTCTTTGGCAGTGCTTTGGAAAACACCTCCAGTGAAAGCAGTCAGTACATCTAAAAAACAGACTTGAATGTAAATCTAATTATAATCACTTTAATATGGACCTTGTGCTCCCTGTCTTTGGTTGTTTTTGGCTAAAATGTTAGTCAGACACCTTCCCACATGCTGTTTTCTTCATCAGGCCATTCTGAACAATGATGAGACAACCCAGTTCCTGGAGGACTTGGAGCCAGACACGCCCTATGATGTGTCTATCACTGCGATCTACCCAGATGAATCAGAGAGCGAGGACCTGATGGGCACTGAGAGGACATGTAAGATGCACACCCCAGTGGCTCCGTGATGGCAGTTTAGCAATAACATCTGTTAACAATGTTTCCTTAGGTTGCTTGACAGACACTTTGTTAGATTGTAACCAAAGGCGAGAACCAGCCTTTTGGTTTTGGAAATTTGTAAAATAATATGTGATGGGTATGCCCATTATACCTTTCTATTTCTGCCTCTGTAGTGTCCAGACATGGTGGTACCCCAGGTAAGTATTTTTGTGGCAAAGCAAGAGGATGCTTTATTTTTTAAGTGATGAAAGCATGTTTTATTATTTCAACCAGTCATCAGCGCTGTTGTTCTTTGGACAACAATCATTTCATCATCCAACAAGGCCCTTAACCCATCCACTGCTCCAGTGGTGCTGCAGCTGACACATCTGGTGTTATGTGTTTGTCTGTCCTTGTCTCGTTGTATATGCCAATCATTCTAAGCCTGTTTATGAGTATATTCTTACCTGTCAAAATAAATGGCTGAAGATGGACTTCAGCTATGCATGTCCTTGAAAACAGGGATTTCGGTCCTTGTTTTTGAAAGCACATTCCATCATCCACCATGTATTCATCCATCCATCTATTCATCACAGTCATCCATGCATTTTTCAGTCCATCCATTGTCATCTTTTCATCAATCCATTGCTGTTCAGCAGAGTCCATCCCTGCTTCAGTAAAGACCAATCCCACAAGAGGATTGTCTTTCTTCTTTAAAGCTGCAGTCCTTGATACAAATCATCAGACATTCTTTGTGCTACCATAAAATTAAGAAAGTGCATTATCTATACATAAATTAACTGACATTTTGAGGACAAATGACTCATTCGAGACTAAGAATAGACATCTGAACATAAGATGACCAAAGTATCAAGGACACTGTCTTTAAAAGAAAGTTTTAAGGAAATCCATGGGAAACGTGATCTTACTGCATACACTACCGTATACTGTAACAGACAGACATATTGACATAGTGGTAATTGGGATATGTGTGCGTCTGCATGTATTTTCTAGTACCACATGCACCTCCCACCAATTTGGTTGTGTACAACGAAACTACCACCACTCTGAATGCCAGGTGGAATCCAGCTCCAGGTCGTGTCCAGAGCTACAGGGTCACTTATGTCCCCACATCTGGAGGCAGGAGCCAGACTGTAAGTAATACAACGGACCAACACACCATATACACAATATAAAGCGTGTCCATAATATTAAAATATTCTCATATATTTAAAATCAGTGTAGTATAAATTTACAGGGCACTTTTGTTTCTCATGTTGACAGTCTCTAAGCATCCAAATCATATTGAAATTTTAATAAACATTTTTCAAAAGGAGAGCTGCTGTCGTAGGTGAAATAACTCCACTGGTTTTTTGGGCTGGGAAACACTACATGCAAATGCAGGAACAGGAAGAGTGTACAACAATATTAGTAAAAAAATGCTTTCATTTTTCTTGGAATGATTCTCAACAATGCTAATTTGATAAATGGTCACACTGTGCGTTTGCCTATCTGCATTCCATTTGTTAGTGATTATGAGCAGTATTAGGTTTTAAAATGTCTTCTTCACTGGATTTCTGTCAAATATTACTTCGCAAGACAAACTGTGGTAACCCAGCCAGCAAATTTGTTTTTCCCTCCAAAGCAACTTTGCCTTCGAGCAGTACAAGTGTAGCTTAACATCTGCCACTGGTATTGCATTATTTATAGTTTATTCTAGGTCAGATCTCATAATCAGTTTTTTGAATACGGCAGCACACTGTCTCACTTTA